CCGCCCAGGCGGCGGGGGTCCCGCTGCCTGGGCGGCTTTGCTCCCGGTCAAACGAGCAAAGCCGCCCAGGCGGCGGCTTTGCTCGGGTGTCCCTGGTCTGCTGGGGGACAGGAGCAAAGCCGCCCAGGCGGCGGGGGTCCCGCTGCGTGGGCAGCTTTGCTCCCAGGCAAACGAGCAAAGCCGCCCAGGCGGCAGCTTTGCTCGGGTGTCCCTGGTCTGCTGGGGGGGTCCAGCGGCTTTGCTGGACCCCCCGAGCAGACCAGGGAGACCGGGAGAAGCTTTTCTTGCCCCGGAGGAAACGGGTGGCGACCTGCCCCCCGTGAGCTCCGGGGCGAGAAAAGCCCCGTTCGTAAGTGCGGATCCGACATAAGTCGGATCCGCGTAAGTCGGGGACTGCCTGTACCTAGAATAATATAATCAAATGGTAAATTCCTATATTCCTATCTAATTCCACAAATTATACAAACACTTATTAGTTTTTAAAGTAATATTATGACGGAATATAATTGTAGTCTGCTTTTAGGTTAATAATAAGGCAGCTATAATGAATACATTTCAATGTGAAGGCTTGAATTTCATCTGTGTCCTCTGGTAACTTACTGAAGGCAGTGTGTTAAATAGTTTTGTCACTAAACTCATATTGAACTGTTGTGTACTACATTACTTGAAAGTTTTAGTGTCAGAATTAAAGTGTTTATATTAGAAAAGCATGTTCACATTCCATATTCCAAAAAAGTTATTAGCATTAAGGGCTTTATTAATACTAATTTTGACTTCTTATAATATGATTTTACTTTTTCTAACTACTGTTTACCAAGGAAAAAAGAGTCCCCTGTATTTATGGCAATAACCCACAAAACACTCACAAAGTTTTCCTGATGGGTATGTCAACATTTTTCTTATAGCTACCTAATTTGATTAGATTAAGTTTGTGATCTCCTTTTAGATATACACTATAGTATTTCCTTTTTTACCACATGGACCGTATTATCTTGAGTTGGGTTTATTGGGGACTTTAAAATATTAAATACTTTTTAAAACAAACAAAACCGATCAACCAAAACAAAAACTTCTAAAACTCATTGAAGAAAACCAAATGCTTGATAGAACAGCTATGATACATCTATAACAAACTTGCTCTGTATTCCACCTTAGGCACATTCTTGTGGAAAAAAAACATTCCCTGTTTTGTCTACATCATGTAACATTTATTTCTGCTCACATTATTCAGAGTGACAGACACTAGTCTCAGACAGATGTCAATTGTATTTCATATGATATCCTACTCTCCATTTCCCAAAGCAGGAATTAAAAAAAATATTATGTCCAACATGTATTTAATTGTTAATTTTCCAGTGACCCAAGTATGTTATCCTCATCATTAGGGACAGATAGGGCCTTGCCTCACACAGCTGCATACATTAAGGGGAGATGATAGAAGCAGTATTCTATACCTGTCTCTTGGGTTCTCACAAAAGGGCTAAGCACCAACCCAAGTCTTCATGGTTCATGAACATAAGGGGCAAACATCTTTATTGACACCAGTGTGGCTAGTAACCACTAGGGACATAAAATACTGCTTTAAATGTTAACTATTGAAACTATATGTTTAACCAGCCTGCTGTGGCGTGGTGGGCCTGGCCGGGCTGAAGCAGACCCCTGCCACGGCGCACCGTGGGTGGGGTGCTGCTCCAGCCAGGTCAGGTGCGGATTAACTGGTTACATCCTTAGTAACCACCAAATAAGGAGTGGTTTGTAATTAACCTGACTGATTTGACTAAGCTCAGGAGGATGCTCTAACAAAAATTTCAAAAGGGACTCCCAGGTGTATAATGAGAATCAAGCTCAAATCTTAGAAGTGGAGATACAACAGCCACTCTTTCTGAAACAATTTTACATAATGACACATGAGAACTGATCACTGAAAAGCAAACCTATCGACTCACTGAGACATAAAAGCATTTCTGATACATGGTGGCACAAAAATGATGAGTAATTCCTAGGCTTCGAACTATAGGGAAGAAACCTTATTACCAAGGTGGGAGCAAATTACAATTGCACTGGTTATCAAATGAAAATTTCTGAGAACAGAATATATGCAGCTATAAAATCCAGTCTATAATATTTGTAATAGGGACGAATTAACAGCTTCTGAATCCAAAATAGTAACTCCAACCATGAGGTTTAGGCAGGTTTGTACTCAGGGCAGCTAGTGCTACCAGTGCTGTTACTACAAAACAGGATGTGATTCCCAGCTCTCACAAACATACACTAATTATCATCTGAGCCAGCTCTCTAAAAATAGCAGTTAAGAACGAGTGATCATAGTATCTTGAAATTGTTGAAGGAGAGTGAAGTAGGGAAGGGCAAACAAACACTACTTAAACTCCCCAAATCATTTAAGAATACTTTCAATGCTGATACCCTAGGGGTAATAAACACTGTAAAAAAGGTCCACTGCCTTCTTGCTTACATAGCTATTTAACATTTCTAGCACACAATCTAGGAAGTTTAAGGGAAAATGATTACCTCATGCTCTGAGGCGTGAGCAAAATAAATTGTCGATGACGCTGAGAATCTGCCATCTTGAGCATCATGTCCATTGAAATTCTTCTATTAACCATGTCCTGAGAACAAATGATTGACCAGTTATTGATATGCAACATATTTTATTATTTAGCATTACTGTACAAGCTATTAATATAACCACCCATAAAGACTAAACTAAGCTTGAAGATACTTTGCTAAAACAAAAACACATTGAAATTCCATTAAAAAAAATCAACATGAAGAAAACATTAAGGATACAGTCAAGCACAGCAATTCAGGAAGTCAACAGGGGTTGTGTACTGGTCATAAACACTATCCCTTTGCATGTGTGTAATATGATACAGTCTTCAACTGCAAAATCACATACTGTATTTTAATATCTGATACCTTTTTCTACCACTTTGGATACATGCATAGAACCTTATGCTATCACGTACCATTGAGCATATGCTTATGAGTGCTTGGCAGTCACTTATATACAGCATGCACAGTAACATCCCAGTTAATCAATTAAATATTAAGTTCACCTAATGTTTAACCAGTTAACTGACAGTCAGGATCTGGGTTGAGGACCACTCCTTGTACTACCTCTGCTGGCTCCCAGCCCCCATATGGGGACGGGGACTGGGACTGCCTCTGTGGGCTCTTTGCTGAGCAGTCTCCCTGCCCCCGTGGGGTTCCTGGGCTCCCCACAGACAGAGGCTGCTCCAGACACCAGACCATTCCCTGTCTGCGGAGTGCCCAATCCTATTGCAGACAGGGGCTTGCTCTGGACAAGACACGAAGGTATGCATCAAGGATCAGGCCGTGGCTCTGCAGATTTCCCGGAAAGGCATGTGAGCCAGGAAACCTGCAGAAGCAGCCAGGGATCACGTAGAGCATACTGTCAGAGGTGGTGAAGAGACCTGAGCCCAGGGGTGGGCAAAAGGGCCTCCACAAGCTGCCAAGCGGGTAGATCCTGCCCATGGAGGCCCTACTGCTCCCCCACCCCCAGGCCCTAATTGGCCTAGAGGCAGGAGGAGCAAGGGAAGTCACCTCCACGCAAGGGGCATGGGCACCTTGGGGGAACATGGGGTGGGGGCTAAGGCACTCCCTCACCCCCAGACCAATCATTGTCTGGGAGTGGAGAAATATCTTAGCCCTGCCCATTCTTGTGCAGCCCAGGGCCACTTCAAAAATTTCCAAAGTGGCCCCTGGCAAAAAATTATTGCCCACCTCTGCCTTAGCCAGATGATAACATGCATGGATAGACGCTGTGATACAAGATGAGATGTGCTGCAAAAAGAGAGGAAATCCCTTCACATGATCCACCATGCCACAAATGGCTGTGAGGACTTGCAAAATGACTTGGACCGATTGATGTAGAAAGCGAATGCCTGCAGTCTTTGATCCTGTGAGTTCTGGTGAGAGTTAGGGTAGAACACGAGGAGAAAAATGTCCTGCTCAGTGTAGGAGACTACTTTTGGAAGGAAGGCTGGAGACTACTTTTGGAAGGAAGGCTGGGTGAGGGCAACGTTGAACCTTGTCCTTGTGGAAGACAGTATACAAGGGTTCTGATGTCAGGATGGAAAGCTCCGATACTCGCTGAGCAGAGGTAACCGCAAGGCTGCCTTCAATGGAATGGAAAACCAAGGAACATGTGGCCAGAAGCTCAAAGGGAAGACCTGTAAATGCTGAGAGGACCAAGTTAAGGACCCAGGCAGGAAGAGGGTGAACTCTGTCCATACACTTGAGGAAGCACCCAACAAGTAGGCTTGTGAATACAGAGTGATCAGCCTATGCCAGATGAAAAAACGGTGATGATCCACAGGTGCACCTTAAGCAATGAAGTCATTAAGCCTTGCTGCTTCAGGGACACCAGGTACTCTATAACTTGAGGCACAGAAGCAGATAGAAGGTACAAACTACACCTCAGGCAACAACACGAAATATGCTGTCACTTGGCAGAATAAGCGAGCCTAGTAGAGGGCTTCCTGATGCTAAGGAGGACCTGTTGAACTTGCTCTGAGCAGACTAGTTTATTCAGATTTAAACACAAAGCTGCCAAGCTGTGAGGTGAAGAGAGCAGAGTTCTAGGTGGCAAAGACACTCACAACCCTGAGTGATGAAGTCTGGGAGCAGAGGAAACAGAATTGGTGGTTGTATTGGCAGCTCCAAGAGAGTGGGATACCTGTGCTGACAAGCCCACACTGGGGCTATCAGGATACCATTTGCCCTGCGTCGGCAGAGCTTGAGAAGCATCTTGTGGAATAATGGGAATGGGGGAAATGTGTACAGAAGGCTAGTATGACATGGAATCAGGAAAGCATCTTCTACTGACCCTGGGATGAAATTCCAGAATGAGCAGAAGCAAGGACACTTCTGTCCTCATGGCCAAGATCTCATGGCCAAGAGGTTGAGTTTGGGAAACCCCCATTTCCAGAAAACTGTATGGAGAACATCTGGCCTGATGGACCCTTTGTGGGGGGAAAAAACAGCAGCTGAGGTGATCTGCCAGTAAATTCTGGGCTCCCAGGAGGTACGAAGCCTCCCGGTGAATAGTATGGCCTATGCGCAGATCCCATAAACAAAGGGTTTCCTGACAGAGGAGAGATGACTTGGCACAATCCTCTTTGTTGATACAGTACATGGCAGTTGTATTTCTGTCACAACTGCCATGCACTTACCTCAAAGATGTGGCAGAAAAGCGAGATGTGAAGCGGACTGCCCTAAGTTCACAAACATTGATGTAGAGTCACAGTTCATCCACCATCCATCTTCTCTGCATGGTGAGGTCCCAGAGCTGTGACCCCCAATCTAAAGCAGATGTGTCTGTGGCAAGCGAGAGCATGGATTTCAGAATGAGAATTGGTATTCTGGCACTAATTCATCTGTGGTTCAATAGTTTTGAAAGAACTCTGGTGGAGAAGCATGGAGAGGGATGTAAGCCTACCTCACATTTCCAAGAAGCAACACTAAGCTAACTTGCTATACTACTTCTACCAGTGAAGGCAAAACTGTACACTGATCAAGTGAGGGTGCCAGCTAGGACCAGAGTTTGTCTAAGCAAATCCTGTTATCAGGAAGTTATTGACTGGAGAAAATGTTAAGCGCCAGAATAATAAGTTATATGGAATTAATATTTCTGAATTATTTCATTAATTCAACTCTCATTTTGAAGTAGTCAGACTTACTTACACAGACATGTATGTGCCTTATTTCTAACTACCAACTTAGAAAACCAGAGAGTAAGTTTATGTATTCTCTAATTAGCATCAAGGAAGAAAAATATTAGGTTTACAACCAAAATTAACTATCACCATCTTTCAAATGAGCTACACTTCATTATCTTGGAAGCTTATCCAGCAAACCTGAAAGATGTACTTTAAATTTACTTACCATGAAGACATCAAACTCGTCCAAGCATCTGAAAGGAGATTCAGCAATGGACCACAGAGAAAGAATGAAACAAACTGTTGAGAAGGAACGTTCACCTCCTGATAGAGATCTCATGTCATTTAGAGCAGCCTTGTTTATATCTCCAGGCTGGACCTTCAATTAGATGAAGACATTCATTTAATTAGTAGATCATGAGAAGCAAACTGTAATCCTGCAAAATTACAAGTGGCAATTTTTGATTGAAGATTTAAAATTTTCAAATATTAAACATTAACATGAAAATCTATCCCTAAATATACACACACAAACAATGTAGCAACACGAACTTTGATTTTAATGTATATGTAACTTTATGAAATTAAAATAGTTCACTCACTCACAATTTGGTAAGGGGTAGTTGCAACTCAACTATCCCATACCTTCATTCAAACATGAAACCGATTTCATTTAAACCAATAAATCACCCTGTGACTTCTTGTTTGTTTAATTTAACGGTTATATAAATAGACAATCAGTGTAGTTATGCTTCTGTCAAATACCAATGATCCCAGAACACAGCTTACTACATCACTACTGGTGTTTTAACAAGGAATAGCCAATCTGTATAAATATAAGAAATGGGGTCAAGATTCCTTTGTTCCTTGGATTACAGTGACACCTTGTGGTATCTACATTTTAATTTTAATGGTTATTCTGAAGTACTTGAAAAAATAAAAATGTTGTTTTAATTAAAGATATTGTAACAAAATATGTGGGTAAACATAAAATGTGTTTGCTGGCAACTTTTTAAAACAAATGTTATTTTATAATTTTTTTTCCCCTTTTTTACCTTTCAAGACTAATTTAGATTAGGGATGTTAAATTTTAGACTAACTAATCAATGGGATTTCCATCGACTATTAAATTAGTCGATAAGAGCGTCTCTGTCTTTGAATTGTAGCAAGAGCCCTGCGGGGGTTATAGTTGCTATAGTTCAACAGTGGAAGCTACACAGGAAGCGCGGGGCCAACAGGGGACCCACTGGCAGTGCAGCGCCTAAGTCTTTGAAATATACAAGAGCTTTGTACATTTCAAAAGGAAGCCCCACAGGGAGCATGGGGCCATCAGGGGAGTCCCACTCTGGCCCTGCACTCTCTGCAGGGCTTCTGCTTTTGAAATGTACAAGAGCTCTTGTGGATTTCAAAAGCAGAATCACAACAAAACCAGTATGAGCACAGACTACTTCAGTCCCCACTCACGCTGTTTCCTGCTGTACCTCTATCTCCCCTGCCCCACAGGGAGACAGTGCTGGGGGAACTGGCTTTTAAGCGGGCTCCCCCTAGGCACCATCTCCTGGTCCCTGCCCCTTGCTGCCTCTCTCTGATAGAGGCAGCAAGGGGAGGGGAGAGCAAAAAAAAATCGCATCACTAGTCTCTTACATCCCTAATTTAGATGTTGAAGCACTCTCCATAATATGTCAACTGCACAGATATCTAAACAAGAGGGGCCCAGAAAAGACATCCAAGCTACAGAAAATAAGGGTATGTCTACACTACCCTCCTAATTCGAACTAGGAGGGTAATGTAGGCATACCGCACTTGCAAATGAAGCCCGGGATTTGAATTTCCGGGGCTTCATTTGCATGAAGCCGGCCGGCACCATTTTTAAATGCCGGCAGTTCGAACCCCGTGCCGCGCGGCTACACGCGGCACAGAGTAGCTAGTTCGGATTAGGCTTCCTAATCCGAACTAGCTGTACTCCTCATTC